TCAACATGTGACACAGAGAGGGGATTGCACTTCATTAACACAGGATGCTTAGGCTTCTGTTTTGGGATTATTGTAAAAAAAAAAAACAGGAGGTACCTTTCTGCCTTTCTGCTACCTTGAACTGAGCCATGCCACTGGAGCTGCCAAAGCTTTATCTCTTTATCCAAGTCTCCAAAGGTTTTTTGTTTCTATGGATGAATTATTCATTTTTCCTGCTACTCCAGCAGAAGAAAAGAGAAAAAATGTTGGTCAGACGCTGAACGGTCCGCATCACGCTTGGGTGAAACTCCTTTGGCTCGTCCAGGCTACAGTCACGTCAGTCAAGAGTTGACGGACTGAATTCAAAGATCCAGAATCTAAAGCTCATATCTGAATTTTAAAAAAAAGATTTCAGATGTGTTTTTTTCTGTTTGTGAGTTTCACCTCAGTTACACCTCTGTGTTTGCAGCACAGTCAGAGGTGCTGTTTGTCAACAGGCAAGGCTGGCAACTGCTTGGGGCCCTGTGATCGCTGCTCACCGACCGTAGACTGTCTGCACGCCACCTCTACAATCCCAGTGCTCTAATGAACCTGCTGCATTATGCCCCCCCCCCTCTGTGAGGTGCATGTGTGAACAACCAGGTCAGGAGAATATCCGGAGCAGTCTTCCTTTAAATGATTGAGATATTTTCAGGAGTGCATGTGTGAAAACGGCTTAAGGAAGAGACGGGAGCAGGTGGAGCGCTGAGGGACTGAGGAGGAACGGTCGTTTGTTTTGGTCTGGGAGACCGGTGCTTCAGTGTACATCTACTCCAGTAGATGTCCATCTTTTGTTACTTTACCTTTAAATGTAAGTTGCTGTTTTTTTAACCTTAAAGGTTTTATATTTGATTTTTTGATCCAGCAGATGTGCCCTTGAGCACCAGCATGAAACAAAACAACTCACGCTGCATTGTTGTGTTAGCATCCTAATGCTAGTGATCTTTATTATGCTGGTATCTTCACACTGCATGTAAATTTACCTGAAATGAGCGTGATCTAGAAACACAGTTAAGCAGTGAGTACAGTATGTTATTCTTCTTTTCTCTAGTCCCTCAATTAAACAACTTTTATACACGAGGGGAGGAGTCAGCCGGCCGTCCGGCGATGTAAACAAAGTGAAGATAGGACTCTGAAAACTCTGAAAACATCACAGACAGTGGGACTCGGGTGTTACGCTCTGGGTCCGAAATTAACTTTCTCACTGGCCAAGGTGGCAGGTAGATGAAAAAATTCACCGGCCAAACGTATTTTTTTTACAGGCCAAAATAATAATGTTTTTGTGTCCTATACTCATCTCTATACTAATTGAGAAGGCATTATGTTCTGTTTAATCAACAACAGATTTTAGTCACAGATTCAATCATGTCATCAGATCAGGAAATTGAGAAATTGTAAAGAAATATATTTGCAGGGCTTTATTTTTTTTAATGTATCATTTGTAGGCAGTAGTTCCCAGACCCCCCCACTCCCCTCTGAACCGCCCCTGCATTACAACATTACAGACTAAAAACAAAAATCCATCAGAGAATAATCAATTATTAATCCTCAAAACAAGTTTAATCCTGATTTAGCTTTGACAATATTAGAAATTTAATATAATCTGCTCGTTAGTGGACGTGTGTATATCTCTGACTGCTCCTGCTGCACGTGCGCTTAACGTCTGCTAGGATATCTAAAGTGTTTGTAACACAGCGCTGTTTCACAGAGTCTGTGTGGAGATGTTCACACACTTATGACGTTGATATCGCTAAGTTAGCTGCAGACACGGTGAGAGTGGACGGAGAAAAGTCGAACCGACCGTTTGACCGGATCACGACCGGATCACGTGTGTACCCAACTCGGTCCATACGGAGATCACGGATCAACTGTTTGCTGAAGCACTAGAAGTAAACGGCGTGTGCGTGTGTGTGCGTTTGCGCTGCAATGTATGTTGGCGTGTCATACTCACAGTCATGACAGCAGAGAGAGGAGCAGGAGAAGTAGCTGCAGCTAGGCTACATCAAACGTGCTGAATACTCAGCATAGTTTTTTATGACTTTTTGATAAAACATTTACCCGCCCTCTGAAAAGTACTGGCCAAACGGAAAATCTACCCGCATTTGGCGCTTGGCGGGTGTTAATTTCGGACCCTAGTTACACTCATTGTAGACAGTCATGACTCACAGAGTTATTTTCAGAGGATATACTTGATTTATATAACATTTAAGTGTGAAAAATCACATATAAAGACTTTAAAGCATTACAAGTGAATTTCTATTCCCACCATTTTGGATTTGGGTTGAACTTCTGACCCTTTAGGGAACAATAATATCACCTCTCAGCTGCACTGTGCTCTCAAAAAACAAAACTATTATCAATTTTTGAATAAGAAAAGAAGATTCTACACTCGAACAGTGGAGCTGTTTCCAAAACCATCCTTTGGCTTCATTTGCTCAACTTTGGCTGACATGGGGGAGCAGCTTCAAGTGGATCCTGGCGATACCCTGGATGTTATTATTCACTCTTAAAACCACCAACCATTGACATAGGAGAGAGATTTTTCATATTTTGACGGGAAAACAGTCAGCTTTATTATTACGGAGTTTACAAGTAGCCTGGGGTGATTGTGTTTAGGATCTAATAACAGAACGTGACATTTCAAAGCTTTACGACATTTTCAAAGCTGAGCTATTTCCACCAGAACTTCTTGATGTGTCTCTACGTTTAACTTAATACAGCTTTGTTTTGCATGATAATAGACATCTTCATAGTGTGCACGTGTTCAAATGAATCGCTTAGTGGGGAATGACCTTTTGCTGTGTCATCCATCATGTTTCCTTCTCACTAACCTCGTCCCTCACTGAGGTGAAAAGGGCGTGTGTGCCTACACAGCAGGGGTTGATGGGAGTATATGTTTGGGTTTGTATGTACAGTCCCAGTCACCCTTCCAGGACCCCGAGAAGGCATGAACAAAAGCAACTATTAAAACACTTTAGAATAAGGCACATAGAATAGATAGATCATCAATATTTACATAAGATATGGCTCCACACACACATGCACAGAGGGCCAGTTTAAACAAATATCACAGTATTAAAACAACACCAAGACATAACAGCTAACTTTTTTTCTTTCCCACCTTGTGTTTATCCTCCCTCCCTTTTCTGCTACCCTTTCATTTCCTCTCAGCTCCACAGTCAGGCAGCGCGGTCAGCCCGATTCTATCGTTGATAAGATACAGTGGAGTCCCATGGACCCGCTCTGACCAGAGCAAACTACCCAGGAGATCCCAGACTTAGAGCCGTAGTGGGCAGCTCTGTCTGAGATTATGGTGTCTAAGGATTGTTTTTTGTAGCATTGTGTTGCAGTTCAGTTCAGAGTTTTGTTGCGTAGCGGGCACTTTCATACAAAGCAAATACAGTGCATCAAGATGGTGGCTCTGGTTTCAATTAAAGGAATTGCAACTGAGGAAATCTCAGATCCTATCTACTTGAGTTGTTCTATGTTCAGTCCAATGAAAAGCACAGCTAACACAGAGGCTCCTACAACCATTTTGTATTCTAGAAAAGCACTCAATGAAACATAAAACTCAATAAAATTAAACACAATCGATGTTCAGATTCAAAGCTCCAGAGGCGGGGTACAGTAGCAGAAATTATTAAGACGTTGTCAATGACAGTGACATCATGTTCGATCAAGTTCTACTTTTATGATGGGCCGGAAAAGCTTCTGCAATGTTAGTCAGAAATGTGGTGAGTTTTTTCAGGGGAATATCTGGAGGCCCGGTGGGTTCTGGAATGTTTGTCAGAGACTTTCAGAAACACAGGTAAAATCTGGAATGTTAATCTGGGGCTTCCTCGGAGTCTGTGAGTTTGAGAATGTTGTTCAGTAACTCCCAGAGGCCCAGTGGGTTCCCATTAGGTTTGTCAGAGACTTTCAGTAGCCTGATTAGTTCCAGAATGTTCGTCAGGTATTTTCAGATCCCTGAAAGATCCTTCAAATGTTAACATGGGATTCCAGAGATGTGAACAGCTTTTACAAAGTGTGTCAGGTACTTTTAGATTCCAAAAGGCTTCCAGATGAGGCTTCCAGATTGTTGTGAGGAGCCTTACAGATTCCTAAAGGCCTCTAGAATGTCTTTTAGGGGTATGCAGAGTCTTTTGGGGTTCTAGAATATTTGTCAGAGACTTTCAGTAGCCTCGCTAGTTCAGGAACATTTGTCATAGATTCCCAGATAAATGAAAGGTTCTAGAATGTTAGCAAGCAACTTCCAGAGGTGTGAGCAGCTCTCAAATGTTTTTCAAAAACTTCCAGATGCCTGCAGGATGCTCGTTGTTGACAAGTGACTTCTAGATTTGTGGAGGGCTTATAGAATGTTTGTGTGGAAAATCTGGAAGCTCTAGATGTTCCAGAATGTTGGTATGCTTTTCCGGAGGCGTGAACACCTTTTACATGCATGTCGGGTACTTCTAGACTTCTAAAAGAGGCTTCCAGATTGTTGTCAGGAGCCTTACAGATTCCTGAAGGGCTCCAGAATCTATTTTAGGGGTATGCAGAGTCTTTGGCAGTTCTGGGAATGTTAGTTAGCGACTTCCAGAGGTGTGACCAGAATGTTTGTGTGGAAAATCTAGAAGCTCTAGATGTTCTAGACTCTTGGTCAGTGGTCACATAAAGCCACTTGGGTCCTAGAATGTTTAAGCCTTGAGAGTTTTTAAAATATTTGTAAGACATTTCCAGATCCCTGGAAGTTCTCGAGTGTTGATAAGTGACGTCCAGAGGTTCGAATTGCTTTGGAATGTTTTTTCAGGAACTTCCAGATGCCCAGAGTATCCTAAATTTTGGTTTAAGTGATTTAAAGATTCATGGAGGGTTACAGTACATGTGTCAGGGGGTTCCAGAAGCCTTTGGGGTTTGAGAATGTTGGTCAGTGACTTTAGGAAACAGTGAGGGTTCTGGAGTATTTGTCAGGGATTTCCAGACCCTACGTAGGTTTCTATATGGTGGTCAGTGACTTCGAGAGGCCTGTAGAGTGCTCAAAGGCTTGTCAGGAACTTCTAGAAGACCAGCTGATTAGTGATTTGTACATTTCTCAAAGGGTTATAGAATTCCTGTCAAGGACCTCCAGAAGACTTTGGGGTTCTACAGAATATGTTGAAGCCTTGAGAGTTTTAGAATTTTTGAAAAAGGTATTTCCAGATCCCTCAAAGGGTTCTAGAACACTGGTGACTAACAGAAACCTGGTGGGTTACAGAATATCTGTCAGAGACTTTGAGAAGCCTTGTGAGTTTGAGAATGTTTGTCCGGGATTTCCAGATTCATGAAAGGCTCTGGAATGACTTTCAGAGGCCTTCAGGGTTCTAGACTGTTGGTCAGCAACTTCCAGGTGCAGAGAGTGGTTGGTCGATGACTTCTCCTTAGGGTTCTAGAATCAGTGGTCTGACCCCAGAACGCTGAAGAAACCTCTAGAACCTTGTGCTGTGGGCAAAGCTGTCAGACATGATGATGTTCTTGTAGAAGTTGTCGGTGCGCGTGGAGCAGTAATCTTTCACCTTGACGATCATCTGGCTGACGGGGAGGATGGCGGAGGAGGAGGACGAGGAGTTGGGATCCACCTCTGAGGAGGAAGGGGACGACGAGATGCTCTTAGGGCTGATCGGGCTGGAGTAACATTTATCTGCATTCAGGGAGCAAAAAAAAAGAAAGACACAAGGGTTATTACTTTTAATTAAATCCTCTCGGAAATGTTAGAAGGAAAGGATTCTTTCACTTCACTTCTCATGGTGAAAAGTTGCAGTCAAAGCAAACATTTCAACATTGTATATTAGTTTTACCACAAGATTAAACAGAACTTTTACACCATTCTAGTGTTACTGTTTTATTTAAGGTGGTATGTTTAAATAACCTTTTTATACAGTAACATATAGGAGGGGTATGCAAAGTTATTTGACAAATATGAAAACAGGTCAACTTTCAGAGATATTAAAGCTAAAGGAGGTATGTGAGTGATTTACTGATGTATGTTTCTACATTCACAGTATGTATATGTATATATTGGTGGAGATCTGAAATAATGTTTTAGTCCTCCCATCCAAAGCTAAACACTTCAACTTTTACCATTCGTGCTGGCCTAGTGAGAACATTTGATGGGTTTATCAAATTTTAATCACATTTAAAAAAGATTTTAAAAAGCTATGAAACTCCAAATACACACAAGTTGACTTCAATTATAAAATTTTTCTTCCAAGACACAAGCTTGTGTTACGACTGAGAGTAGCATGAAGATGACAATGTACGAGAAAACCGTCCACATGGACCTGTATTTTAATTTTCACTTTGGCCAACCCTTACAAAAAACATCTTTAAACTGGAGGACACAAACAGGAACCTGCAGGGGGTCTAGGGGAACCTCTATGCCAGTAAGTATAAGAATCCCACCATGATTTCAGAATGAACCATCCACACCAAAGAAGCAAGAAAAACAGTGAACTGGCTTCTACTGGGAACTGTTAAGGTCAGTGGAATCAAGCAGGAGTCAGTTGATAGCCGGCCAAACAACACAAAAGATCTGATGCCAAAGATCAGTTTGAACAGGAATGAGGGATACCATCCCCCCTCCGAATAAATCACCGCTATTATAGAATCAAATTCCATACTTTGGTCTCATGACCAAGAGTGAGCCAGCTCCATTTTTAGGATTAGGGCCGTAAATATCGGGGTTTTGATCTTAATGAGACAATTGCAGTCAAATCCTTTCCTTGAAAACTGATCTGGCCTTCTTTCAACTGAACAAATACCAAAGCTAAGATCCTCTAAGCCCTCAATCTGCTCTTGGGTCAATTTCATAAAAACTCGCCATTTCTCCACCAGGTTTCAATCTGAGAAACGATTGCTACCTCATGTTACTCTCAAAGGTGGCTGCTCTGCATTCTCTTTGGGAAACAACAGGTCTACTGGGCACAAGCAGTTTGGGCAACCATCTGTACTGGGCCTTTATGTCTCTACTTCCTTATTTAGAGAGGGTCTTACGTCAGTGTGGACCCCTGATTTCCAATTTACCAGACAATCTAGTTGTTGTAGGCTTCTTGGATTGATTAGTTCTATTTTCTGTAACCTCGCAATAAGAACAACTTCCAGAGCCAACAGACTAGACGCTGACTAGACTCTTCTCCTCTGTCGCCCCCCGGTGGTGGAATAAACTGGATCTGCAGAGTCCCTCTGCACCTTTAAGAAAAAGCTAAAGACCCAGCTCTTTCATGAATACCAACTAACTTAATGATGATGGTCTCCAAATTATTGATGATGATGATGGTAATGACGATGGTTTTTGTTGGATAACGATGACTTATAAGATGGTTTCTATACTGATTAGAGCTCTCAAGAACTGCCCTCAATGTTGTGCTTTGCCTCTGGTCACTTCCTGTCAACACATGCGTGTCCAATCAGACTCAAAACTGATCGTTTGCTCATACCGTTTAGTTTCCCTGGTTTTTGTCAGGCTTTAAGAGTCTTGACACGACATAACCTTCTGTGGTTTTCTGTCGACTACACAGTTAGGTTGGCACCAATCTTTATTTTTTCTCCTTGTTGGGAATGCCATCCTTAATCGAGAGCAATGTGCTGCAACTTGGAACAACACCAGCAGCCTTTAGAAGGTTGGAACATCTCTGAACTCTTTATGGTAACTCAGCCAAAGGTTGCAAACAGAACAGATATAATTTGCGCCAAATCAAGCACATACTCTGTCGTTGTGCTGGATCTTTTGGTGTCATCAAAAGATGTGAGAATATTTTGTAGGAGGCGATCATTTAGCTTGTCTTTGAATCATGCTGGTAAGCCAAAGTCTTTGTTGGCATGAGAAAAGCTCTTTGTCATTCGTCCCATCTGTGCCTAACGAAACAACAGAAGGAATGAAGTTCTGCTCAGTCATGAGTCCGATCCTCGCTTCCAAACAGAGTCTCTATGCAACATGAAGTTAGAGGTCAAAAGATAGTTGTTTGCTAGCCGGGGCCGCGGTCACGGCTTCCTTCATTCAAGCATCCTGGACCATCACTTCATGTTCTGACAGCTCTGATTATTCTTCTGGCTCCGTACAGAATGCTAAAGATGATGCTGTCCAACAAATTAGACTTTTAGATGCATCCCCCCGTGTGCAGATGTCACACAGGGATGTTTCTTTGTGTTCTCAAATTTCCACTGAAACTGAGAGACATGTTGTCTTTGTATACACTGTAGGGTGCACTTTAGGGCGAGGTATGGAAACTGAGAGTTGATCTCATGTCACAATAACAGCATCTACCTCTGGTCTAAACAACACATTTATGTATGGATGGATCCTCCGACATCTGGAAACTTTACATCGGGGTTCTGACGCTGGTCAGAAAACATCTTGTGTTCAGTTTATGTGAAGTACAGATGCTGGTCGTTGGAAAAACAAACGTTACTAGTGGTACAGTAAATCTTTAAGTCATGTGTTTGACATTTAAGATCTTGACGTCGAACGTATCATAATTTTATCATCTGGATGAGTCGTAGGAGAAAAGGCTTAACAGAGAACAGTTGTGTGCTGTTTCAATTCTACAATTCTACAATTCACTTAGCAGATGCTTTTTATCCAAAGTGACGTACATCAGAGAGTAAGTACAACACAAGCAAGGATCTAGAAAAAAGGAAACAATGTCAGTTCACCTTCACATCTGTGATAGTGTAGTTTAAGGCCAAACAGGAAACTGGGGGCCTATTTTGATTTCTTTGTTGTGTAAAGGAAACTGTTTACTAAGTTTGCTCGAACAACTGAAAAAGTGATCATATGGAAGCGTTGTGTTAAAGGCTTAATATGTGATTTTTCACACTAACATGTAATATGAATCAAGTATATTCTCTGAAAATAACTCTGTGAGTCATGACTGTCTACAATGGGTGTAACACCCGAGTCCCACTGTCTGTGATGTTTTCAGAGTTTTCAGAGTCCTATCTTCACTTTGTTTACATCGCCAGGACGGCCGGCTGACTCCTCCCCTCATGTATACAAGTTGTTTAATTGAGGGACTAGAGAAAAGAAGAATAACATACTGTACTCACTGCTTAACTGTGTTTCTAGATCACGCTCATTTCAGGTAAATTTACATGCAGTGTGAAGATACCAGCATAATAAAGATCGTTAGCATTAGCATGCTAACACAACAATGCAGCGCAAGTTGTTTTGGTTTCATACTGGTGCTCAAGGGCGACATCTGCTGGATCAAAAAATCCAGTATTCTTAGTGTAAGTGCAAGTGGAAACACCCCAATCCCAAAAAAATTAACTCGAGTAGCTGAAGGCAGCCCCCTCGTGGAAATTGTGACGCTACGATCGCAACAATGACCGCAAATTCAACCGATCAAACTATCTGTCTATGTGTTGCTTCTTACAGGTGTAGTGCCTTAGGTTTCCTCTGATTGGTGACCTGCTACAGTTAACAGGTACTGGTCTGCCTGGAGTAGCTGGAAGCAGGGCTAGAGTGAATCTAGACAATTCTCATGAGAGTGAGGGGAAATGAACAGTGTGCTCTTCCAGACAATGTTTTCCAACAAACTTTCATTGTCTCTTCTTTTTTGTTTGATTATTTCCATAGCAACTGTTAAAGGTCACATATTCTGTAAAATCCTCTTCTCCATATTCCTCTAACATGTGTCTCTAGTCTGTCTACAAACCCCCCAATGATGAGAAAAGTCCATCCTCTCAGTCTTTTGCCTGCTCCATTTTTCAGAAAATGTGTGCTCAGACAGGCCATTTAGATATTTTCCCTTCATGACATCACAAAGGGCAGTAGCCCCTCCCCCAGGTGGGTGACACTCCCACAGCTAGGTGTTTGTTCTGCCCTCTGAGTCTGCCTTCTCACCGTAAACAATAGGACATGGAGCGAGAAAGACCGAGGCACCCAAGCCCTTCCAGAGAGGGGGCGTGGTCAGATACAGCTCATTTACATTTTTAAAGGTACAGACACAGAAACAGCCTATTCTGAGCAGGGCTGAAATAGAGGGGTTTATAGACATGATCAAATACAGGATCAGAGTGGATTTAGAACAAGAAACTTGTTTTGAGGAGATCTGAGACTTATTTACACTGAAGGAGAGGAGGATATGTGACCTTTAAAGTTAATGAACTGACTGTTGTTGTTGTTGGTTTCCTCTCGTTCTGCTGCATTTCTGTCTTTTTGTTTCTGTTGTCTCTATGTTGAGGTGTTGAAGTTTTCTGATGTTGCTTGTTGCAGCTTGCGTGGTGAAGACTCTGCCTGCTGGGGTTGACTGGTACCTATTTCAGACATTTTATAATTAGTCTGACCTGAATACGTTTGTGAAAATCGCCTGCTACATGCTGAAGAAGAGCGTCTGCTTGAAATGTCCGTGAGGTTGTTAAAGTAACATTTGGAGTGCTGTCCTTATCGTTTTTCTCTTGTGAATTGTCTCAGTAATGTCAGTACTGCAGGACCTCATTAACGGTCCAGCAGCTTAGTGATCTCAATAGGCTAAATATAAATCTGTAACTGACATTAGCTTCTAAAGGTTTTGAGGCTTTGAAAGAATCTTCCTTTTACGGTTTCATAAGTCAACACTAAGACGTACTACAATATTAAAAGGTACAAACTGTAACACATGTTCTGGCTGCTGGTTAGCATAGCTCGTGAGGCTAATTAAC